GATTCGAACCCGCGACCCTCAGATTGTGAGTCGAGCGCCTTATCCACCTGGCCATGCCGGGCACATCAGACTCTGTTCCTATTGTTCTTGTTAACTGTTCCACCCCCCCAAAAAAAAACAACAACTCAGATTTTATCAGATTCTGTTCCTATTGTTCTTGTTAACTATTCCAAAAAAACAAAAAAATAAAAACACAACAACTTAGATTTTATCAGATTCTGTTTCTATTGTTCCTGGTAACTACTAAAAAAACACACACACAGAACTCAGATTTTATATGATTCGATACCTGTTGTTCCTGGTAACTATTCAAAAATACCCCTCCCCAAAAAACAAACGAACACACACACACAACAAAAAACAAACAACAGCAACAAAAACTCGGACTTTATCAGATTGGTTCCTATTGCTCCTGGTAACTATTCAAAAAAAAAATAGCTTAGTGAAAAAAGCAGAGAATTTGAATAAGATAGTCATGAAATAATCAGATCTCTTATTTGATCAATCTGTTACTAACACACCCAAAGATAAACAGAATACACACTAAACGATTAAGAACACAAACCGTATTTTTAGTTAATATAATTCTTCTGCTCTTAGCACGTTTAACTACTATATTTTTTATGATAAAAAACACACTTAAGATGATCATGAGTGAAAACATTTCTAAATTTGAGACAGTTTAGTACAGTGATATCTCGTATGGCACCGTCCTCAAGATTATAACGCTAAAGTTCGGGGTTTGAGTTCCCGCCGTGAATACAGCAGATAGCCGAATGTGACTTTGTTCTAAAACAAACAAACAAACAAATCTTGTGGCACATGTGTAGGTGAACCTGTCTGTATATATAATCGTTGTGCAATGTTTCAAGAAGGTTATCGACTCATAAGTGAATAATAAAGAAGTGATAAAAGACTACAACAACAGAACTTGTTGTGTTATTAAAAGATTGGACTACAACAATAGAACTTGTTGTGTTATTAAAAGATTGGACTACAATAATAGAACTTGTTGTGTTATTAAAAGATTGGACTACAACAATAGAACTTGTTGTGTTATTAAAATCTTGGACTACAATAATAGAACTTGTTGTGTTGTTAAAAGCTTGGACTACACAACGACAATAAAACTTGCTGTGTTATTAAAATCTTGGGCTACAACAATAAAACTTGTGTTATTAAAAGCTTCGACTACAACAATAGAACTTGTGTTATTAAAAGATTGGACTACAATAATAGAACTTGTGTTATTAAAAGATTGGACTACAATAATAGAACTTGTTGTGTTGTTAAAAGCTTGGACTACAATAATAACACTTGTGTTGTTAAAAGCTTGGACTACAACAATAGAATTTGTGTTATTAAAAGATTCGACTACAACAATAGAACTTGTGTTATTAAAAGATTCGACTACAACAATAGAACTTGTTGTGTTATTAAAATATTGGACTACAACAATAGAACTTGTTGTGTTATTAAAATATTGGACTACAACAATAGAACTTGTTGTGTTATTAAAATATTGGACTACAACAATAGAACTTGTTGTTTTATTAAAATATTGGACTACAACAATAGAACTTGTTGTGTTATTAAAATATTGGACTACAACAATAGAACTTGTTGTGTTATTAAAATATGGGACTACAACAATAGAACTTGTTGTGTTATTAAAATATTGGACTACAACAATAGAACTTGTTGTGTTGTTAAAAGATTGGACTACAACAATAGAACTTGTTGTGTTGTTAAAAGATTGGACTACAACAATAGAACTTGTTGTGTTGTTAAAAGCTTGAACTACAACAATAGAACTTGTTGTGTTATTAAAATATTGGAAATTAACAGAATAACGTTTTGCTTTTTATACAGAGAGAGGGCTGTGGTAATGATTAATTTTCATCAAAGTCCTTTAAAATGTAAATGGCAAGAATTTACCGCTCGATTAACTGGGGTTTTAGATGTAATCTTGTGGGGGGAATTAAAATTATCGAGTTCGTAAAAATAATGAAAGTCCCAATATATGCGATCAATTTGTTGCACGAACTTTTAAATACTGAGCACAAGCTTACAGTATCGTATTAACAGATTTACATAATTAATTATATTTATAAGAATTATCATGCTTAGCAATTAACGTACGTAAGTAAATTAGGCGAAGTAACCGTTGTAACAACCAATACGTTCAAGTCTAATCGTGAAACAATTGATCTGTATGACTAGAAGAAGCGTTAGATATTGGGACCTAATGGAGTGAGTATAAGGTTGGGAAGTTGGGTTCTAATACTCAACGTCTTTCAGTCATTAAGTAAAGTTAAAATGAAATGGATAATTACTTAAATGTGTTCAATGTATTTGGGGCACTGATCGTTTTTATGAAAGTTTCTTTATCATGTCCTAACTACAGACCCCCACCCATAGGTGCCCGCAGAAAGGAGCAAGGAAGTCGGTTTACCCCCGTAGATTTTCAAAAATAAAAAATACTATATATGTAAAATTATTCTTCTATGTTATAAGAAAATCATAAGTTATTTGTATT